TCTCGCACCTGGACTAGCCCATTTCTAATAATGTGTGTAAGCACCCCAAGGTGCGCTTACCGGGAAGATTCTAGCCTACGTCCATCCTGGGTCGGAGCTGCCTGGGAGAGCAGAACCTGGCGTCTCTGCTCCAGAGAGCAGAGCTGTCGAGTCTGAGCTCACTTCCTCTTCCTCCCAGCATCCTGTTCTGTTTACTCCTCCCACCTATGTTTTAACCTATCAGGGCCAAGGAGTTTCTTTATTGCTTAACCAATGAAATCAACAGATTGATATATGACACTCCCACATCACTTCCTTCCTTCCTTCCTTCCTTCCTTCCTTCCTTCCTCTTCCTTCCTTCCTTTTCCCCTGATATTTTTCCTCAGGCACTAGCCTGAACTGAACAAGAAAACTCCTTCCATCCCTCACCATCCATCAACTGCCTATAGTTTCTCAGAATGGGGTGGGATATCACGAGCCTTTCCCCCATCCGTGTTGGGTGGTACTTGTGCAAGGCTTGTGCCTGTCCTAGACACTGTGAGTTCATGTGCAGCACATGGATTTCAGAGACATACTTCAGCCCATAATGCTATCCAATCAGTATTTTCCACAAAAGGCGAGGAAAGAAGGAAGTCTAGCAGGTGACATTTGCATTTTTATTAGTTCTTTGAGAGTTGAGGGTTTGTACAGTGTATTTTGATTTTACCCCCAACTCTTCTTAGATCCACCCCTACTTCTCTCCCCACCTAACTTTGTATCCTTTTTAAAAAACCCTTCAAGCCCAATGTGTGCTGCTCAAATATCCTTGGATATCTGGTCTTCAACTGGAACATGGTAACTTATCAGGGACCACACCCTTAGAAAAAAGTTTCTGTCTCTCCTGGCTGCTAATCATTGCCATTTTTCTCCACAGCTAGGGGTGGGTGGTATTGTGTGTCCATCTTCCCCCTCCAGGCTGGGATTTGGTCTGGCTTGAGCTTGCACAGATCTTGTGTGTGCTGTCACAGTTTCTGTGAGATCATGTGTGCAGTTGCTCTGCTGTATCCAGAAGATAATGCTTCCTTGTCGCTGTCCTCCACCCCTGGCTCTTCCACTCTTCTCGCCTTCTCTTCCACAGTGATACCTGAGCTGTGGGGGTGGGGTGGTGATTATGGTGGTGGTGCAGTCTTTACCCTGTTGATGCTGTGTATCCAAACGCCGTTTGGTTTGGGTTGAGTGATGTTTTTACCTAGGAAGATGAATGAGGATGCTTCAAATTTCCTTTCCTTACCGAAATAGTTTGTGCATATATCCAAGGATGACAAAATAGCTACCCTACATTCTACCCGGCAGGTATCTATTAGGATGAAATGAAGTGAAGGATGTTGCTGAATTTTGAAAAATCTATAATGCATGGTATTTCTAAATGTTTGTGTTCTTTGTTCTCCAATTGGATGATATTTGAAACCTGCCTTGAGAGTTTTGAATTTATGGAGACTCTGTGACCATTCACTGAGGTTCTGACTCAGTGTGGCTGGACCTAGGGAATAATTTTTTAAGTGCTCTCCAGAAAATTTTGATTGTTTGCCAAGCTTGGAATTACTGGTCTTGGACAATTTCTCCTTCTAGAGTAAGCATATTCAAGAATGTATATTTAACTAAACATTATATAATGTTATTATAATAACAACTCATGTTAAAGGGAAAATATTGATCAGTGGTTCTAATAATGGCACTATCAGGTATTTTTAGGACAAAGATTTCATGATTATTTTAAGGGTTCCAGGATGAGGTTGGATGGATGTTCTTGGATTTGAATCATGATATATATTATACATATAATAGATACATGTGCATATATAGTATAATGCTTAGATAGGCAACTAGTAAGTACTAATTGGAGGAAGTAACTTTTCCAAGTCCAGTTTCATTACAAGTGAGATGAGGATAATAATGCCTACACTGCAGGAGTTTGGAAGACTAATTTGGATAGCTAATGCAAATTAGAATTAGAAAAAAAAAACAACTTTCATTAATGATCTTTTCCTCCCTCAAAGTCCCTCAAGGTGAATAAGTGTGTTGAATGCTCAGCCCTGAATAAGTCATTGATCCTCAGTGAACGCTTCAGAAGAGACCAGAGAGAACATAAGTGCTGTGAGAAAGGGAGGAAGGTGTGAAATGTCTTTAAGGACTGACAGAACCATAGAAATCATGAACTCACAATAGCTGCTTTTGCATACACAGCTGTGGGAAGAGGCCCGCAGCTCCTACAACAACATAGCTCAATAAAAACAATTTAAAAAAGAAAAGTGTGTAGGAAGGAGGGGAGGTTTAGCAGGGAGATAAGAGGGACAAGCTTGGAAATAGCTGGAATGCATTGCATATTTACATGAAATTGTTAAAGAACAACTTTAATTGATAAAAAAGATAATTTTCTTTTATCCTATTACTTTAATATATTTAAGTCATAATCTTTTAGTTTTCAGAAATGGAGAACAGTTAAAATTCATTAATTATAACTGCACATTGTTTTTGCATTTTCTTTCATCCTTTTTGATTAATATCTCCTGTGTTCCAAGGTTTAAGTATGTAATTATGATTCCTGAATGTTTGCAAAGTACACCAGGTACCCATACTGCTATATCAATCTTGTGGAAAAGTGAGAATGTTGGCAGTAAGTCTTGAATTCTGAAGAAGCGGTGAGCTAAGAAAAATCTAGTGTGACAAATGATCCATTAATGGTGGAGGTCTGAGTACATGCTGCAGGGCAGGACAAAACCGAAGGCACTGGGCCGGAGAGTAGTTAAGCATTAAGCTTAGAGCACGGTGTAGAAGGTCCATGCTAATGCACATTGTGTAGTTAACTTTTTTCTAATCATACACGGTCCATGGTAGCTTTTCACTTTCTGTTCCCAGATAAGTACAAAGAGATAACATTTATAAAGGAACTGATAAGTGGAAGGAAGAAAGGGGAAAAATGGAAGAAGGAAATAATTTAAAAATTCCAAGAGACTCTCCAAACAGTGCAGGCTATTGTCATTGCTTGTGGTTGCTTCCCCAAACTTGAAGGTAAGACACCATTGTAGAAGAGATCTCCCAGCATTTCTGTGAAATGTTTTAAGTAAATGTTTACTTTTTAATGAGTCACTATTATTAATGGATGCCGGTCTTCCCTCCGTAAGTCTTCATGTTACTGGTCTCCCAGCAATGCCCTTGCTACAGTGCATTTTTCTCAAATGTAGAAAGAAAACAGTGAAGAATATAGAAATCATAAAGTTTATTTGCATCTAATTGGGTCTTAGAGACAAAATTATCAATCTTTTAATTACAAAATCTATTTTCTTTCCAAATTGAGACAGGTGTGTTTTGAGATACCTAATCAGAAAGTCTAAGACTATTTTTGATTTCAGCTTCTTTATATGCCAGTTGGTAGCAGATGTTAGCACCTGCTTTTGGTTCCAGATCTCTCCAGATTTTCTTGCCTCATGTGGGATTCTACATTCTTGCATACACCCACACTAAAACTCTTTCACTAATGATCACAATTAAAAATTTAGGTAGAAAAATTCAAATACTATAAAACCTTCACAGTTTTAAATTGTATAGTTCTTATGCATAGTTCCAGAATTGGCATTCCATCGTTGCTAGGTGCTCAGCTCTAAACATGACAGGACATCTTTGTCAACCCTTCCCAGGCTCAGGGAACATTAGGGGGTGGGGGGTGGGAGAGAGAGAGAGAGAGAGAGAGAGAGAGAGAGAGAGAGAGAGAGAGGAAAGGCTGAAGGAATGAAAGATAGGAAGTAGCGTCATGAAGCATGCCTTCTGCTATGACATAGCTGTTGCACCAATGACTTCATAGCAGCTTAGGCTACCTGCTCAAGACCTGTACACCATTGTGCCAAATCATACACCATCAAAGATATATAAGACCCCACCCCTCCTTCTGGAACTGTAAGCTATTAATGATTGCCTGGTAAGGAGAAGTTATTTTCCTCCATGGTCTAGCCATCACCATTCTCATTAAATGTTGTGAGACATACACACACACACACACTAACAAAAACACACACACATACACACATACATACATATACACAAATACACACACATACACAAACATATACATATACACACACACATAAGAGGTAGACTTTGGGAAGAAAAGGGGAGTCTGTGGGAAAGAAAGAGGATAAGAAGGATAATGGGGGATATGATTAGAACACATTTGTGCATGTGTGTGTGAAAAGAATCAAGTTGAAATGATGCTTCATTGTTCTTACCTCAAATCCATCATAATAAATATGGGAGTTCCATGCTAATGCACATTGACTGTGTAGTTAACTTTTTTCTTACCATACACAGTCCATGGTAGCTTTTCACTTTCTGTTCCCAGATAAGTACAAAGAGATAACATTTATAAAGGAACTGATAAGCAGAAGGAAGAAAGGTGAAAATGAAAGAAGAAGGAAATAATTTAAAAATTCCAAGAGACTCTCCAAACAATGTAGGCTATTGGCATTGCTTGTGGTTGCTTCCCCAAACTTGAAGGTAAGACACCATTGCTAAGGATATAACACACTTCTGACAAAGGACTTGAAAGAATTGAGCTGAAATTGACCTGGAAACCTGCTGGAGGACCAGCTAGCATAGTATTTATTGCAAGACGCTACACAAGGTACCAAAGAAAAAAAGCAATCAGTAGCCCTACCCGGCTGTAAAAACTACAAACCACAACACACTTGAAAAGATATCCCAGTAGTGCAACAGTGGCTTTTGTGTCTTTGTGATAACCAATAACTGTCTAATTGAGCTTAAGACCCAGACAATAGGAGGAAATGCTTGCCTATCCAACCACCCATGGTGGGTGAGGTGGTTGGGAGGAGGGGTGAGCCTCTTACTGCCACTTTCCTGAACCACTATAATCTCTAACTATATTCCAAATTCTTAGCCGTATACCTATAGGTAAATATAGTTCTCACTTCTCATCAAATATTTTTTGGTAGATGAAGGTAATTATAGAGATCCATAACTGTTCAAAATACAGAGAAATAATAAGTGACCATGGGGTACCGAGTCCCAGTTGACACATCTACACTGCAACTCTTGCGCCCAAGGCTCTGAGAAAATTGGAGAAGATGGGATGGGATGAGGGTAAGAGCCAGCGGACCAGACACTTGCTGCAAGATAGTATCTTCTAAATGTGACAGAGAAGCTGTGCTCATAACATATCAACAGTATGGTTTCATAAACAAGACCTGTGTAATGACAGCACCAGCTGATATGCCACTGTAGTTGGGGAAACTTCACAAGGCATCGCCCTTAGATCAAGAGCCACAGGCAACCAAAGGCCACTAGGAGAAGAATCTGTTTTCCCCAGAGGTGAACCTCTTGGTAAGTTATTTTGAACCTAATTGACCTTCCCTCCACACATGTACACAAAAGCACCTCTAAATAGACTCAATAGTTTGTATGTATGTGCATGTACATACATATACATACATGTGCATATATGTGAAACAATAATTGTAGAAGAGGCAGTGAATTTGAAAAAGAATAGGAAGGGAGACCTGGGCGGAGTTGGAGGGGAAAGAGAAGGATAGAAATGACATAAATACAGTACTCATGTACAAAATTCTCAAAAAAATAAATTCTTTTAAAACTAAATTCAAACTAAAGAGAAATGGTCCTATTGTTTCTAGGCAGGAAGCTTTATGATGTGACTGAGGTTGTTTTTTAATCCACTCTGGAAATCCACAGGGCACGATAAACAGCTCTCTAGACATGCTGAGGATTAAGGAGCAGGCTGTGAAGACAGAATCCGGAGAAGACCCGTATTAGCTGATGGCTGTGTTCGAGATTGAGATCGTCAGACCTGGGGTAACAATGAATGGAGGCTGGATGTGAGAGAAAATAATCATCAATGTACATACTCACACATGTCATTCGGAATAGCTGTGATGTTCACCACGGCCTTCCAAAGAAAATAAAAGAAAGAAGAAAGAAAAGTTGATCATTGAAGTTCTTAATCATTCAAGGTAAAGCAAGTGGTCTCATTTGTATGTAGACAGGAAGGACTCAGAGACTCTTCTCAGAGAGCAAAATGAAAACCAGCCTTTAGCAAAATCAGCGTGGCACAGGGGAACCTGAGCATGCCATGAAATACAGTAATGGCCATTGTACTCACAACCTGAATGACAGAAGCAGAGAGTTTATGGAGACCAGACTCAGAATTTTGGAAATGAGGAAGGTGAGACCCTTGCCTTGATACAGTTTGTCTTGTAACAGCGCATTGTTTCAATATTGGCCTGTTTCTACGATTGGTCTGGCCAGCATATAGGTGTTAGCTGTATAGTAGACATGGTGCTTCACAGAAAGTCTCAGGGCTCATCTTTCCTACATTCCAAAGATCGATAACTTAGGCTGGAAACAGAAGGGAGTCTTACCCAGTAACACGTCCTAGAATTTGACATGTATGTGTTCACAGATAATGAAATCCAGGGCTTAATTGTCTTGGTTGCAGAAAATTGAAAGGAACAGTTAACAAGACCTGAATGGTCCTGCTGCTCGATGTGAGCAAATGCTGCACCTGCTGCAAATGTAGCTCCCTTGCAGATGGCTTCCCCGTGCCTTCTGCTCAAAGAGTCCCTCTACAATACCTGTAACTGTGAAACGGTGCCATGGCCAGGGGTAGGCACAGGTTCTCTGGAACTGCCTGGCTTTATAAAGAAAAATAATAACTCTAGGATTAAGATCTCTGATAAGATCTTCTCTTGGCTATTCCCAAGCAAAATATGATTTCTTCAGCCCCAGCTGTTTGCTTCTGTATTGACCTGGTGGTTCTTTGATCCCCTTAGCCAGTATAGAGGTGGTCACCATGTAGCAGGTTTGGCGCTTTGCTGAACGTCCCGACTGATCTTGTAGTTGGTGTTCTATGACTGGTCACTTAATACTATTTAGACAAGGAAAGAGTATAATTTTTTCAGCAAGCGATAGAAGAAACTATTTCCTTTTCGGATTAAGGATTCTAGAGCTATACTGACACCAATTATTTCTATAAAAAGCCACAGCATAAAAGGCTATATTCCAACAACATGATTTGAAGAAAGATTTATTTATAGGTTAGCAGGGCCCATGCCCATCTGGACAACTCATCTTTCCACAAAGAAATCCCTGAAATTGCCTGACTCCTGGTCTTCTCACCAGGATGAAAAGAGGTAGTCAGCTTTATAGGTAGCTATAAATGTCTCTCATGTGTGTAGTTTTCCTAGAGTATAAACCTCAAGATTTCTCAAACCCCAAAGCAACATTAAACCAAACAACAACAACCACCATCTTGAAAGCTAAATCAAAGTGAGACCAATAATTATTTAAATTCTGATTTTTTTTCAACTATCAACCTTTATAATCTGAGAGAGAATATGTCTCTTCTGGCGTTAAAATAGCCAGCATCAATTATAGCTTGCAGTATACTAAGCATGTTGTACATACATCGCCCCTCATAACAACCTCAAAAGAGTATCACATTTTCCCCCTGTTTCAGACAAGGAAAGACATGTACAGGTGCTAAGCATCACGCCTATGGGCTCGAAGGGCTAAAAGATGTGAATCTGTGGCATGACCTTGGCCTACCTCCAGCTTCACAGGAGATCTCTGAACTACTGCCCTACGCTGGAGGAGGCACATAGGGAGAAATTGGTATCGACCATCCTTTTGCTGCCTTGGACTTGTTTCTAGTCACTGTCTCTGCTGTTTTAGGACGGGAAGAAATTGGAATATAAGACCTAGAATGGGACAGCGTTCCCCTCGCTTACTGGAGAGCTGTGCTGTGTGAGTGTGGCTGGGGCTGGAGTCAGCGGAGGGAGAGGTCGAGATGGGAAGCCATGCAGACCCCCCCCCAGAGCATCTCCAGAATGCAGTGGTGTGTGTGTCCGGGAACACTGAAGACTTCAATAGGCAGCTACCCCGCTTCTTAGCTCATTAGCTTATCTTGGTCTTAAAGTAGACCTTACCCTGCTGGTGGCCGGGGTGCCACGTGATATGAGAACGAATTTGGAACAGGTAAGATGAAGAAGTGAGAGAAATTAGAAATCTCAGTGGAATGATGGGGGGGGGGAGCTTGTCTTATTTTCTTTCAGCCCTAAGGGTATTGGGACTAGTCAGGCCACAGATAGTCCTCATTCCCACGACAATAGAAATGTGTAGGAGAATTAGGTCAGGGTGAAACGCCTGTGGGGTTATGAAGCAGGCCAGGGTTTGTTTGAACTCGGTCCACAATGAGTTAGCTTTGCTAACGGCTGAGGAGACCGTAGTCAGAAATAACTCCGCTAACGGCGGGATCTGTGAACCATGCTGCATACGGGGAGGAAAGCTTAGAAAAGAAGCACACGGCTGCTGTGAGGCTCTGTGTTTCCAGAAGAGTCCATGCCAGACAGCGGGGGTGTGAGCCAGCTTCCTACCTGTGTACATAACACACTAATCCGTGTAAGAGCTTAGCTACCGCCTTCTAAGGGGGTCATTGCCTGGCCTGGTGAGCCGGGGTATGTTGTAAGCTTACATCCAGGGTCTTGAACGAGAAGGAACGCTTTAGCAGTGACGCTTTTTGGCACCTGATGATTTAACAGGTCTCTAATAGGCACCTTAGACACCTGAATTTGACCATTCTTCTGGAGAAAAAACTTTACATTCCCTGGGAAGTCCTGGGACCAGCTAGGGCATGGCCTTAAGTCTGGCATAAAGGTTCCCAAGCCTGCTGAGTGAAGCAAAAGAGCCAAATGTTTGCCTTGTGTTTTCGTTAACGTCTACAGTGTTTGTTTTTTGTCGTTCGGGATTTAAATAAATATACTTAGCGATGGGCATTGACGTCAGTCACTTAATTCTATCCTCTCGGTGCTCCGAGCCTGTGTGAGTGGCCAGCAGGAAAGCCTGCTGCCTATCAAGGCCTTTCTTCGCGGACCTTCTTTGTTCATCTCTGAGCTGAGATGTACTCGGGCTTGTAAAACCGAGTTGCCAGTCTTGTAAGTGAAGATATTCATGGCGGGTCTGCTCTAAATACAGCGTCTAAGTAAACTATCTGCACGTGTTTCCCGTGGTTTTGGATACTAGCACCTGTCCTGAAAAGAGAGACGATGGGCGGGAGCTCGCTGGTGAATTTGAAGGACACCGGGTTGCGGGCCTTTGGGCTTGATGATGAAATCCCCAGAGAACTGCCTGTGGCCTTGTTTTGCCCTCCTTTCTCATCCGGCACTGCCATCCTAACAGGTGCTTCCCAGAGGGCCTGGAACGGGTGAAGACGGCAGGTGCAGCCAGAGACCTGTCGTCCTAAGTAGGACAAGACACCCGCCTAGCTGTGGGCATCAGCTGTTCCGAGGACTAGGCGCCGGAGCACCATTATCAGGGGGAGTTTTAACCCCTGAGCCCCCCATTACCTTACTAGAGAACAGGAAGCAGAAATACGCATGTCAACACCGTACTTAAGATTCAGCTTCCCCATCCGTTTCCAAAACCCTTCGGACAATTCTAGCTCCGTCTTTTCTCTCCAGGTGAGACATCCCTCCTCCCGGAAGCTCTCCTTGACTATGGGGACAGTAATCCTTCCTAGGGGCACCACCTTCACTATCCTTCTGTGACGGGCCTTTTCAGGCCATCTCGCGCTGTGTCTTTTGTCTATTAAACTGTAAGTCTGAGATGAGAGAAGAACATTTTATTTGGCCAGCCACATCCTCCACAGTGTCTGATACTGTCTCTGTCTTTGTGGACGAAAACTGAATTAAACGCATGCCAAACACCAAAGCCGGTTTGGCCCAGGAATCGGCTCCTTTTCTAATGTTCTTTGTGTAAGAAACCCAGCGGCTCTAGGTAATAATTAATACTTACACAGCCGTTTACCCGCCCAGTGGGATTATTTGCTGACAAGTCAGTGTGTAAAACTAGAACTCCTAGATTTTTCTTGCCTTCATCAGCATATGCTTCCAGCTAACATCCAACAGTTCTGTTTTGGATATTTCATGGAAGTTTATTTTAAAAACTATTTAGCCAGATATAGTGGTGTCTATACACTCATAACCGCAGCATTTGAGAAGTGCAGGCAGGGAGATTATGGATTTGAGGACTGTCTGGGCTACTGTGAGACGTGTTTTCTAAAAAAATACATAAATAAATAATATTCAGAAGCCCCTTACTATTTTGTCATCTGAGAGAGTTAGGGGTTGGAGAAAAACTAGTATTTATCTGATGGGACACTGGGTAACAGTGACTGAGAGAGAAGACAGGGAGGGAGAGAACCCGGGCTGCATTAAGAGGGCAGGGGTGCCAAACAGAAGGGAAGGGAAAAGATTTGGCATGATGTTTCTTGGTCAAGTCGTCACAGTAGGTATTCACAAGCTGTTGACTGAAATAAACGAAATGTGTGTGTTGGGTGGCATACCTCCCACTCCCTCAGACAAAGCATACCCGAGAATATTGGCCCGAACAGCCCTCTGCTTTCCTTAGTTTTCTGCTCTGGTACTTTCTGTATGCTTGTTTCTGTTTTATTTTTTAATAATCAGTGTTAAGTAAAAATACTGAGAAAAGGGCAGCTCCGTCAGCACAAAGAAATCCAATTAGGTCAAATCAAACCAAATCAAAATGCCCATCATTTTATTAAGAATGACGCTCTCCGGTGGCCAAGCATATCGCAGGGAGACAGAAAAGCAGGGAGCCCATGCAAACCCAGAACCCCATGTTTCTCCTCTGGGAGCCCACTTAAATACCCTGTGGGAGTGGCAGGCCCCCAAGGGAGGGGTCAGGACCTGGCATGCTGGGATTTGGAGCCCAGAGCAATGCAACTCTCAGGCCAGGTTGTCTGGGAGGGATGCCAGGGGCTGGAGGCTATGCTCCCAACTTAACAACCAGCTTTCTGTATGTGAGTAACTGTTCTTCCTAGAAGTGGATTTGGTGTATTGTTGCCCCTTATCCCCCAACATTCTCCATGAGTCCTCAGTACTCCAACCTTCAATGGTTTAGTGCACAGTCCTAATCTAAGCTCCTTGCAATGTGGCCTGCAGAGACTTTCTTCTCTGTGCTTGTTATATTATATC